CAGTATGGAGGTTCCTTAAAAAACTACAAATAGAACTACCATATGACCCAGCAATCCCATTACTGGGCATATATCCTGAGAAAACCATAATTCAAAAAGAGTCATGTACCAAAATGTTCATTGCAGCTCTATTTACAATAGCCCGGAGATGGAAACAACCTAAGTGTCCATCATCGGATGAATGGATAAAGAAGATGTGGCACATATATACAATGGAATATTACTCAGCCATAAAAAGAAACGAAATTGAGCTATTTGTAATGAGGTGGATAGACCTAGAGTCTGTCATACAGAGTGAAGTAAGTCAGAAAGAGAAAGCCACCAACCATATGCTAACACATATATATGGAAAAAAAAAAAATGTCATGAAGAACCTAGGGGTAAGACAGGAAAAAAGACACAGACCTACTAGAGAATGGACTTGAGGACATGGGGAGAAGGAAGGGTAAGCTGTGACAAAGTGAGAGAGTGGCATGGACATATATACACTACCAAACGTAAAATAGATAGCTAGTGGGAAGCAGCCGCATAGCACAGGGAGATCAGCTCGGTGCTTTGTGACTGCCTGGAGGAGTGGGATAGGGAGGGTGGGAGGGAGGGAGACGCAAGAGGGAAGAGATATGGAAACATATGTATATGTATAAATGATTCACTTTGTTATAAAGCAGAAACTAACACACCACTGTAAAGCAATTATACTCCAATAAAGATGTTTAAAAAAAAAAAAAGAATGAGGAAAAATGGGGAAAGCGTGGGTGCCAAACAGAGCTATATCAAGAAAGGCTGTTCCTGGAACATGGGGCTCAAAGTGGGAAACATAGTACATTTTTTCATGTAGCAGTAACATTATGAATGGTGTTTTATATTGTATAGTATTATTAGAACTACAATCCATCTACACAAAAAAATTAAAATGGATTGGGAATGTATTTGGTAACAACCGCTAATCGACCACATTATTGCTCAACACTAGAAGGCAATTTGGGAGTATGTATCAAATGCCTTAAAAAGTGCATGTCCTTTTGACCCCGTACTCAACTTCCATAAATTTAATTCCCAAATTTCCAGAATTCATGGTACATTCATACAATGGAATATAAAGCAGCCATTTAAAAAAATGAGGTAGAGTTATGTGTAATTAACCTGGAAATAAGTCCACAATATAATTAGTATAAGAAAGCATTAGAAAACGATATATGACATTTTATCATTTTTGTCCTAAATAATGATAAGTACATAAAGAAAAAAAAACTAGTGGGTTATAGACTTAATTGTTATTACTTCAAAGAGATGAAATCACTGACTTTACCTTTCTACCTACGTACTTCTGTATTGTCAGAATTTTTTTTACAAAGTGTATATAGCTTTTCTATTTAGAAAAAAATGAAAATATTTCTCTCTTGATTATTTAAGTATCTAATATACATATATATACACACACTGTGTAAAATAAGCAACTACAACACGTCATTCTACTAGCTACAAAGTATGGCTATGCCATGATTTGTTTAAGCGCTTCTCTATTGTGGATACTTAGATTGTTTCCAAATTTTTGCAACTATAAGCAGAACTTAGATGGAAATCCTTGTGGCTAAATATTTGCACGTATCTTTAATTATTTCTTTAGAATATATTCCTAGAAGTGAAATTTCAGGCTCAAGATGTGGGCACAATTAAGGACTTTTGACCCATATTGCAAAATTATCTCATAAAATGTCAGTGCCAATTTACCTTTTCAAGTACAGTGTGGAGGTAGCCTTTTCCCTTCACCCAGGCCTGAATATTACTATCTCTTTTCCAAGTGTGAACAATTTGGTAAGCAAAATGACACATCGTTATTTTTATTTGTATTTCTTTAATTACTAAGGAAAATATCATTCATAGTCACTTATTGTCTATTTGTTATTATTGTGTGACCTGCTTATTGATATCTCTTGCCCACTTTTCTACTAGGATCTCTTTCTTCCTGGTTTGTAAGAGTTTTTTGTCTAATATTAGCCTTTTGTCATTAAGGCTAATATACATCACTTGCCTTTTTGCTTTGTTTAAGGCATTTTTTATGTTCAGAAATTTTTAATTTGTATATATTTTCTCAGCAATAAAATCACTCCGAATTCCAAATTACTGACCTGTAAGTGGGCATTTGAAATATACCCCGTTGTACATATAGGGTCTTGTATAGTAACTAGCTACTTCAATGTATGTTCTCATATCTTTTCTGCATGTAAGCTCCTTGAAGGCACAGACCGTGACATTTCTTGACTCCACCATAACCAACCAGCTCACAACCCAGAACGTAGCAGAGCTCCAAAATGTCTGAGATGAAAAAATATTGTGTCTGGGACCTGCTTTGAAGCAATCCAGTTTGGGTTGGGAGATGAAAATAGGGTAAAGATGAAACAGAATCAGCCACATGTTAATCATTGTTGAATCTGGGTGACAGGTAGGTACATGGAGTTCATTATACTATTATTTCTACTTTTTTGTATGTTTGAACATTTCCATAAGCAAAAGGAGTTTTTTTTTATGTTTGCTTGATTGATTGGTCAACAGCATCAGAGAGGGGACTTCTGGAATAACAATGGTAATGAAAATGAATTACATATGCATCAAGGACACTTCTGTAGCATAAAAAAGTCAAGAGCACAGGCCTTGAAATTAGGCACAAATCCTTAGTGACCTTGAACATGTTATTCAACCCCTCTGAAACTCAGTTTTCCAGTATAAATAAGGGTATTAATAACTACCTCAAAAGGTCCTAGTAAAGATTAATGGGTGTAAAACTCAGTGCCTGGTACCAAATAGCACTCAATAAAGAGTTGCCATCATTATTATTCAGTGCTGCGTAAGCTTGACAAGCTCTAGCCAACATCCTGGTGGTGGTGATCCCATACCCTTCACTGCTGAAATCGCTACTACGGCTCTGACTTCAGTTATATTGGGCAGCAGAAAACAGCTTGGCAGAGGACTCGGTAGACCAGATGTCAGGAGTTACATTCCTGATACCCAGAAGGGAAAACAGATAGGACCACACCAAAGGACAAAACCAGTAGCTCCCAACCTTACTCAACAGGTCAGCAAAAAGCCTTAACTCCACATTCCAGTGACGCAACCAAGAACAGGAGTGATGAAGCCCTTACAACAGCAGGTCATTCACAACTTGGACCGAACCCTGGCATCACCTGGGAGCTTGAAATAATAACAATGTCTGGGTGCCTCTCCCAGAATTTGACTTAATGGTCTGAGATGTGGACTAGATACCAAGGTTTTTAAAAACCTAATGTTGTAATGTTTACCACTCTGCTGTGTGAGTTGGGCTGGAGGGTATCGAGGGAAGCGGTCAAGGGGAAACAAATTAGAGAACAGAGACCATTGCATCCCACATGAACCCCATTAAAGGCAACCCAGTCATGTGGTCCCAAGCTGTGTCCCATGCCAGACAAACCCAGTCCCATTAGGGTCCTCTCACTCCCTCCATAAACTTCAAGAGCATGTTACTGAGTAATAATTCACAGGACTAAAATATGTTATTAACACCAGGATGCATGCATGTCAATATTCTAAACAATATTAAAACAATGTATCTGCTCTCTGGGTTTTGGTCTTAAAAAAGAAACAAAAACAAAGAAGTCCAGCTAAGAGACAGTGGAGGCTGGAGGAGGGAGAAAAGCATTTTTTTCTCCTAGCCTTTTGGCAGTCTGTCAGTACAACTGAAGCACACTCAAAGAGGCAGACTCATTTTGTGCAGTTATTGCAGTGTCTTTGATCAAGGGAAAAGGCACATCCATTTCAGTCCCTGTAACGGGGACTGACCAGCTGTCTGGCTTCCTGGCTGCCCACCGGGGTGATCCAGCCTCGAGCCTGCAGACACATGGCAGTGCTTAGTGTGTCAAACAAATGAGGGGGCTCTTGACTGTCTATCCACCCTTTGCTGCACTTCAGGGGCCCCCTCACTTAGCAATTCTGCCTGGACTAATCTGGAAGTTCCCCTCCCCGGCAAACACCACCTGGTCCAGCCTGGCCTCACCGAAACAAAAGCTGGCCAGCGGCTGTCTGTCACGAGGCAGCAAACGCTTCAGAACCAAGGGGGCAGGGGTCAACCGTTCTCATAAGTAACACACTCAGAATTACAGAGGTCTAGAGAAAGGGGGAAAAAAGGATCCCGCCTCCTCCTTATTAGCCCCGTCTCAGCCCCAAACTCAGCTGTGAGGGGTTTGATTTTCTCCCGCATACATGAATTCTCAGCACAAAGATCACCTGCACTCTTTTCACTAGAAAAAATGATGAAGAATTGATGGGGGGGAAGGTTCGACAAAAGACTTTCTTTTCCTTAGGTGACATCATTTGGGAAGATTTGAGCAGTAGAACCAGAGTAGAGATGGGGACAATGATGACGATAATGACAGACATCCATATAGCAGTTATGTGTTCCAAAGATTTTATGTGTTAACTCATTTAATCCTCATCCCAACCCTATGAGGTAAGCTACGGTAATACTCAATAACAGTAATAATAATAGTAACATGGAACACGTATAATATAATAATAATTATTACCACATAGCACGATAATGGAGATCGCAGTCTCCATTTTTCACATAAGGGTACTGTGACCCAGGGAAGTTCAGCGACGCGCCTGAGGTGGTGCGTGCATTCATGCCCAGGCCATCTAGCTCCAGGAGCAGTGTGCTAACTACCGCACTAGACTGCCTTCCTCCAGTCTCCACCTCAGAGCCTCCTTTGTTTTTTTTTTTAATAGGCATTTTTATTTCTATAGAAAAGAAACAAAACAGTATAATATTCAAGTTAAAGGAGAGAACCTGATTAAACCTCTCAGAATGGAATTTTAGTACATATTTGTTTTTTATATAGATATGAATTTTAATATTTCTATACATTTCATCTAAAATTTTGCACCATACGTTTATTTTATGTATTATGATAGCGACACATTAAAGAGTCACATTTCTGGGAGAATTTTGAGACGGGGTGAAGTCACGATAAAACATGGGACGCTTCACGAATTTGCATGTCACCCCTGGCCATGCTCATCTTCTCTGTATCGTTCCAATTTTAGTACACGTGTGGCCGAAGCGAGCACTCAGAGCCTCCTTTAAAGCTGCCAGTTCAGCTTTGAGGGCTTTGGAGGTGGAGGGATCTGAGTTGGACTCCCAGCTCCCTGGCCACTCTGCGACCCGCTGTGGTTGCATCTCCTGTAAATGAGGACACTAACACCTACCTGGCAGGCTTGTGGTGAGACTTAAGCAAGAGAATGAATAAAAGCACCTCTCACAGGGTGGGCAGCCAAGGTCAGCTTAACCCTGTGGTTCTCGATCCTGGCTGAACACTTTTTTTTTTTTTCTTTTTTAAAACTCTACTTTATTGGTTGTCTTTTAATTTTATTTATGGATTATTATTATTTTTAAACATCTTTATTGGAGCATAATTGCTTTACAATGGTGTGTTAGTTTCTGCTTTATAACAAAGTGAATCAGTTATACATATACATATGTTTTCATATCTCTTCCCTCTTGCGTCTCCCTCCCTCCCACCCTCCCTATCCCACCCCTCCAGGTGGTCACAAAGCACGGAGCTGATCTCCCTGTGCTATGCGGCTGCTTCCCACTAGCTATCTATTTTACGTTTGGTAGTGTATATATGTCCATGCCACTCTCTCACTTTGTGCCAGCTTACACCTTCCCCCTCCCCATATCCTCAAGTCCATTCCCCAGTAGGTCTGCGTCTTTATTCCCATCCTGCCCCTAGGTTCTTCATGACTTCTTTTTTAGATTCCATATATATGTGTTAGCATACGGTATTTGTTTTTCTCTTTCTGACTTACTTCACTCTGTATGACAGACTCTAGGTCCATCCACCTCACTACAAATAACTCAGTTTCGTTTCTTTTTATGGCTAACTGGCTGAACACTTGAATCAGCGGGGAAACTTTAAAAAACACGGAGTCCCGACCTCACCACCCCTCCCATTTCCACTTCCACCTGCCGTCGGTCTGAAATCAGCAATCCCCTGGGCCCAGCCCCAAAATGAAACCTGAAACCCAGTGGACCAGAGGCCAGCCTACAGCCTTTGCCCCAAGACTCAGGATTACTGGGAAGCTGTGTAAGTCCTGAGGCCTCTGCTTCCAGTCCTCAGGTAGTAGTCCCCGGACGCTACTCCACTCCACAGAGGGAGTCTGGGCACCAGGCCCGTCCCAAGCAAGTGCTGACCCACCCTTGTCCAGTGGTCCTCCCCACTTTCTTAGAGCCACCTCCACCTCTAGACTGTGTCCCCACCTGCAGCCTGAAAGCTTTACCACCCCGTTGTCCCATGCTGCCCGTGTTTCAGTCTGTGCCAACTTCAACATAGCCAGCATTACTTTTACACAAGCTCTAGCCAGCAGATCATACAGGATCAGAGGTAGGACTGCCTGAAAGGAAATTTTAGAATCTGAGTGTATAAACACACACGAATGTACATGCACGCACATGCAGACACCACACACGCACACAGATACCACATACCACACATCACACGCATATACCACAAACACATACACAGGCACCCACATACACAGACAACCCCGCCCACACACGGAAACCACACAACACAGACACACACGCACAGATACCACACAACACACACATACACCGCACACAGACACACACACACAGACAACCCTCACACACACACACAAACCACACAACACATGCACACAATATCACACACCACACAACATACACCATACGCACACACAGATACCCACACACACAGACAACCCCCCCCCCACACACACAGATACCACACACCCACACATGCACTCACACTCCACAACCCCCAGACACTTTACACTCAAAGGGAGCAGAGCTTTGTTAGAGGTTTGGGGGCGGGAAGGAGGGGCATATAAAATGGGTAGTAATAAACAGTGAAGGGAATATGGGGGTTGCCCATGGAAACTGGCGAGGATAAGAAAAAATAATCAGCCTACATTTGACAGAAGAGAAAAATGAAGACGGCCAGCAGGGAGGATGGGGACCAAGCAATGCCAGTTTCCTGGCTCGTACCTGCATGAGCCTTTCAGGACCCACTGCCAGCTGGCAAGGGGTGGCATGGGGCCCAGGAGGGGGAGGCCGGCCCCAGAAAGCAACATGGAGGGTGTCAGAGAGTCCTCAGCTGTTTCCAGAAAGCGAGGCACTCAGGGCCCTCCTGCTCCCAGGCCCTTCCCCCCAGCCTCAGCCCAGGACCCAGGCCTGAAAGACGTGGCCAAGGCCTACCTGGGTAAAGGAGCCATCCTCGTTGCACTCCGGGACAAACACCGCCTCCTGGGGCTTCTTGGCTTGCTCGAGGGCCTGAGCCCGCTCCAGGCGACACTTGCTCTGGCCAGCGTCTAAAAGAGGGAGGAGTGCATTTGAGATTCACTTGGATCCCACACAGGAGCCATGGACAAAGCAGTTGCTGGTTCTAGAAATGCCGGGGAAAAGCACTCTGCCGTGCAGGGGGCCCACACACAGCCAGCTGGCTGTCCCAAGGGCACAAGGGCAGGGGCTGGTGAGTGCCACGTGGCCTCACCTTCCTCTTCGTGGTACTCAGAAAAGTTGGGTGGGGGCTGGTCATATTTATACGAAGGTCTGTTTATTCTTTTTCTCCCAAGTATCCCCGGGCCCTCCTAGGGAAAAAAATGTTCTACTTCTATTATTTTTCACTGGGTTTATTCAAAAACACGCAAGCCCAAGGAGCCTCAAAGATGTTTTGTAGTTCAAGAACTGCAAGCACTTTCTTTGGGAAATCAGAATTCCAGAGCAGCTGGCTTAGCCTCCCACAATTCCTATAATAGCTCTGATCAGTCCAGGGGTCACAAACTCAAATACCTACAGGGCGTAGGAAAGTGATATAAATTAGAGAAGGGGCTGGGCGTGTGAAGAATGGCATTCAGCTTGGCAACACCATAGGGAGTGCTGAGGACTGTGGCAAACTGGAAAACGGGAGGACGTAGCTACTACTCAGCTCCAGCCACATGTTTGCCTTGAAGGAGGGAACTCAGACGTAACATCACCAGAGCTTCCAATTTTTTATGGGAAGTACAAAAATCCAGACTTTTAGGTTGAATTTCCCAACTTTTAAATGCTGTCTCAAATGTTTTAAATATTTTTAAACATGCGAGCAGACCAAACAAAATACATCTGTTGGCCAACAATGTGGAATTCCTATTTAGGAGCCAGCCACAATGTCTTGCCATTTTAAGCACCTCTACAAAAAAAATAATAATAATAAAAAATAAAAGCACTAGCCAAATAGCATATCTCTCTAAGCCCTGGTGGCAGTGTTTAAAAGCCAGAAAAGTACTCATCCTTCACTGGGCCAGTCCTCCTTCCCACATTGCCCGGTAGAAAGGACATGGGGAGAGGTTGGCAAGTGAAATGAACAGATTCATTCTGAGCTCTCCCTATGGGGAGTGCCCCACGCAGGGAGCGCGATGCTCAGGTATCTCTCCTCTGCTGGGCACGTGCACACTCACCTTTGCATCTACCTCGATGTACCACACCCAGGGTTGGGTCTCGGCACTTGGCTCTCTGGTACTCACACATGGACTCGTAGGACCTGCCGTCAGAGGCACAGATAGGTTTGGGTTGAGTCCTGGAGCAGTGGAGGTTGCACTGGGGGTCACGGTCACTTATAAGAAACTAGGTTGGAAAAAAAGTGAAAGGGTACAGAGGTTACTTTTGCAAGAAAAGTAAGGATGAGTCCATGACTTACAATACTAGTTTGCTCTTGGGAAGCAAGTCCAGAATAAACCCAAAGTTATTAAACCCTAGAAGTGGTAGGAAACTAAGCAGCCACAAACTCTAACCAAGGAAGGCATCCTGTGCTCAGTAATTCACCTACAGGATCTCATTAATCCTCACAACCCTATGGAATAGGAACTACCTATTTTGTAGATAAGGAAACTGAAGGCTAGAGAGAGGTAACTTGCCCGGTTTTACACAGCTCTAAGTGGTGAATTTGAACCTAGATTGGTCAGAGGTCAAATCCAAGCTTTCACCATCGGGACAGTTGGTCTCCTGGTCCACGCTGATGGTCTCCGTACTTGGCTCTATTTGGGTACCTCCCCAAACCAAGAACTCACTAGCAATCTCTACTTTCCATCTTTGGAAAGTTTTATTGATTAGAAAGTAGTACTGAGTCCCCAAATCTATCACCTTTCCATTCTGCCCACTGCTCTCTAGCAGAATACAAGTTAAGCAATTTTCTATGAGAAAGGAATTTCCTGATTCAATATATCACCATCATCAGATTGTGAAATGCTGAGTTAAACAGTTTTCTTCACTGCAGGACTTCCCAGACACCTTTGGTACATTCGTACGCATTATGAATCTCCAAGAGGTACAGCAGATTAAAGATACGTAGCTGCAAAGTATTTGCCACTCTTCCTGTTGAGCTGTGGAGTCTAATTCCCCTCCTTTGAATCTAGGCCAGCCTCAGTAACTTGCTTGACCAATAAAATGCTGTGGCAGTGATGTTCTGGGACTTTTGAGCAAGGTTACATGAAGCCTTGCAGTTTCTTCCCGGGCCTCTTGCAACACTCACTCTGGGGGAAACCAGCCACCACGTAAGAAGCCCAACAACACTGAGACTGCCATGCTAGGAGGAAGCCCAAGCTAACATGAGGCGAAACCAAGTGGAGAGAGAAATGCCCGACCAACACGGGCATGGAGACATGTGAGTGAGGAAGCCTTCAGATGAGTCTAACCTCAGCAATCATCTGACTGCAACCGACAGAGATGAGAAGGAGTAACTGCTTGAGAGACCCTGAGCAAGACCCACCCAGCTGAGCCCAGTCAACTCGCCAGAACCGTGAGAGTTAATAAGTTGTTGTTTTAAGCCAATAAGTTAAAAAAATTTTTTCCTATTGAAGTACAGTTGATTTATAATGTTTCAGGCGTACAGCAAGCCATTAAGTTTCGAGTGGTTTGTTACACAGCAATAGATAACCAGATCAAGAGCATATATGATTATGTATCTCCCAAACTTATTTGACCATGAACCCCTTTCCCAGTGGACCCCTGTTAACAACTGCAGAATACAGCTGGAAAACAATAACTGGACAATACAATCCACAACTCACCCCTGCACAGGATCAACTTCCCTCAGGCTGCCCCTGCTTAAAACCCTTGAGTGATGCCCCTCTGTCCCTGGGGACCTTCCCATGGTCTCCTGGTCTGGCAGATCTGACGCTGGGGCCCCTTCTCTGGCCTCAGCTCTTCCTGTTCTGTCCCCACCTTGCTCGCTGCTGGTCGGGCACACTGGCCTACTTTCCAGTTCCCAAATGGGCTACATTTGCTCCTACCCCTGGGCCTTTAGACACACTGCTCCTTCTCCCTTTCCTCCCACCCCTACTCAGATTTGGGTTCATCTGGGAGGTTCTCCCTGACTCTCACAGGTGAGGACAGGTCCCCCTCTAATAACCTCTCACCCCACACTTTTCCTTCAGGGCTCTTGACACAGTTTGATGATGAACTGATTTGTGTGATTTGATTAGCAATGGAATCCCCCACTCTGAGCTCCAAGAAGACAAGGATTCTGTCTCTTCTGTCTGTGAATACACCTCCAGCATCCAGCACAATGCTGGGGCACTTGATTATTTGTGGGATGAACGCATCCCTGAAGCAGCCTTTCCCACACAGCATTTACCTCCAAACCAGCTGGTGTGACGTGACAGGCCTGGTCTCCCAGGCTCCTGCCACCCCCGAGGATCACTGGGCCACTCCCCTACCCCACCCCCCATCTCCCTTTCTAAGCTTTCCCCCTCCCTCCCACATTACATGGTGGGCAGAGGTGGGCCACAGCTTCTTGCCCTAGCTCCACTTCAGAACATAAGTTATCTCCGAGGCTGAGAGGTGGGTCTCTTCTCTCTCCATCCCCAAGCCAGGCCCCTCTGCCACTACAGCCCTCTAAGCCTCCGACCCAGTGGGCACCGGGGAAAACTTGGGACCCAAAGGTCCAGCTGAATGACGCAGGCTTGGAAGCCCTGGCTGTGGGCACCTGGATGTGCACAGGACCCAGGTGGCTGCAACCAGCAAAGCTGGACTAGAAGTCTCTCTTTTTCCCTCAGACTCATTCCTCATGTGTCTGCAGCCTGGAAATGCAGCCAGACTTGGCTCTGTAGTTCTGCCTGGTGAGCAGCAGGCGCCGGCCAGAGGCTGGGATCAGTGCTCTCACACTCTGGCTTGCAGGCCAACCAGTAGCCTCAAAGCTGTCCAAGAACAGATCAAGACACTGCTGTCACGCTACTCTCTCCTGGTCCGTGGAAGTCAGGGCTACTTACATGAAGTCAGAGCCTGCTTTTAAGACCTATTTGTTAGTTATTTTGCCATGTCAATCCCCAGGAGCCAGGGAACAGCATGCCCTTTGTTCTCATGATCACACAAGGAGAGAAATATCCGTATCTTCTAACACCTGGGAAAATCAAGGAACTCATCCTTGGTCACAGAGGGATCTGGTTGCCAGACCTTAAGTCTGAAGAGTGATAATAATAAGTGCTGATAATTATACATCACTTACGGTACGTTAATTAATTTAACCTTCCCAATAGCCCTATGAGGCAGGGTACGCTAAGTGTGCGTCAGTGCTGAACTTGACACCCAGGGCCTGGCTCCAGAGCCACGCTTCTAACCACTACACCGAACTGCCTTGAATTATTACAGAGTAACACTGCAAACAGAAACTCTGACCCAATTGCAAAATTGGATTCAGTTTGGGATTAGCAGATACAAACTACTATATAAAAAGTAAAAAAACAAGGTCCTACTGTATAGCACAGGGAACTATATTCAATATCTTGTAATAAACTATAATGGAAAAACAACAAACAAACAAACAACTGGATTCCCAAGTCAAAAACTGTTTACCAAGAGCCTACTCCATGTGAGACACCAACTGCTGAAGATCCAGATAAGACAGCCCTGCCCTCCAGGCACTTTAAACCTACTGTGAGAAGCTCCTCATACAGCTTTGTTCACCTTCAAAATAGAGGAATTGAGGAAGACACAGTTTCTTTTCAAACTCAAAGAGGTTGCCCTGTTGTCTCTTCACAGCTCATGGGAGAGGGGAGCTGCAGGCATCCCTGTGGTGTTGAAGAACAGGCCATAAATTTGGTTTGGAAATGGTTTGCCCTGGGCCAACAGAGATGCCATGGCAGCTCTGCCAGAGACCAGCTTCATAACTAGGGAAACACTGCCTGGAGAAAGACAGGTTAAAGGCAGCTTCAGACGAAGCCCCACCTGTCTCCACACACGGGGATCCTTCCGGGCTTTGGGACCATTCCCAAAACGGTCCATCTAGAAATGACTGCCCCCAAGGCCAAGGGAAAAAGTTCTGAAACAGTCCAGGACCATTGCTAAAGACCATCTCCAATCATCTGTGGTGACTAATTTTTATCTATTTTAGGAACCAAAAAAGACAATGAGTTCTATAAAGTGGAGGTTTTTTTTTTTTATTGAGGTATAGTTGATTTACCATTTTGAATAAGCTTCTGGTGTACAATCAGTGATACACAATTTTTAAAGATTATACTCCATTTATAGTTATTATAAAATATTGTCTATATTCCCTGTGCTGTACAATATAGCCTTATTTATAAGGCTATATTGTGCAGCTTATTTATTTTATACATAGCTGTCTTTACCTCTTAATCCTTTACCCCTATCTTACCCTCTCCCCACTGGTAACCACTAGTTTGTTCTCTATATCTGTGAGTCTGTTTCTTTTTTGTTATATTCACTAGTCTGTTGTATTTTTTAGATTCCACATATAAGTGATGTCATACAGTATTTGTCTTTCTCTGCCTGACTTATTTCACTAAGTGTAATACCCTCCAAGTCCATCCATGCTGTTGCAAGTGGCAACATCTCATTCTTTTCTATGGCTGAGTAGTATTCCATTATATTTATATATATATATATATATATATATATATATACCCCACATCTTCTTTGTCCATTAATGACTATGCCCTAATAGGTTCACCCAAACCTCCAGGGACCCTAGGGCATTACTTGGGTCCACAAACACTGCTTGTTCAGCCATCCACTGATCCACTTTTACACTTAACAAGCAAGCACTATGATGCCCCCTGCATGCGAGACATGGGAAGCAGAACACAGCCAGCATAGTCCTGCCCTCAACGAGCTTGCACTCTAGGGTGGAGAGAACAATGACACTGATCGTGCAGCAAGGGAACAGGATACCACAGGACCAAGAGAAGATTTCATTCTTGGGACTCGGCAATGCTACAAAGCCACAGACTCCAAAAGAACTTTCTGCAGTGATGGACATGTTCTATATCTGTGCCATCCAGTGTGGAAGCCACAAGCCACGTGTGGCTATGAAGCACTAAATTGTAGCTGAGGCAACTGAAGAACTAAATCTTTATTTGCATTTAGTTAACTTAACTTTGCATGGCCATATGTGGCTAGTGGCTGCCAGATTGAAGAGCACAGCTATTGTGGGGAAGGGCGGGGGGGTGGGGAGAGAATGGCTCCCCCTCACTGGAGTTTCTCCTAGTTGAGCCAAGCTACGACAGACTGGACCAAGAAGCAGATCCTGCGATAATATCTGCATTTGGAAACTGGACATGAAATCATGAATTCATTATTATGGGTTTCAACAGCAGAACATCCCAGTA